AATAACGATAAACAGTTTTGTCAAGAGTAAAATTTCATAAATAATTTATTTTCATTAAAAAAAGCAATTTGTAAATTACAGAAACAAAATGGAAGAACTGATTAAAAGGATTACAAAAAAAGCTACAAAGTGGTGGTAATGTGTTTCACTCTAACATGCAAATGGAAAGAAATATTGCTGGAAAGACGGCTATAACAAAAAAGGCAATGTTCTTCTTTTCTATTTGTTATTTTATTAACTAACTTTATTTTTCTTAATTGTTAAATTGTTTGCCACATACAGATTCAACACTCTACATTTTTTTTTCAGGGTAATATCTTTAGATTTTTTTTCTTTTTACCTAGAACATTTTGTTTGATTGATTACAGTGTATTAAGGATTTCATCTAGAAGAGATATATTATTTCCAAATATATAAATTGCACACTATATTAGCTGCAAAACTGTGACCATTGGCTCATTTGTGCAAAAAAAATTCACAATAAAAAACCCAAGAGTTGTTGTGGACAACATTTTCATACATTATTTAATGGTCACTGTATTTTGTATTTCCTTAATTAGTCAATTTCTCAAGTTTCTTTCTTTATTTTTGATTGTTTCCAAAATTTAAAACCAGTATAGAGGAAAGTGTTTGCTTCTGTTACAATCTCATCTTACTAATAAGACAAAGCACTGTTATTTTTAGTTTCCACTTTGGACTGGCTTATATTTCTTAACAAGACCATTCGTTGATATTGCCTTGGAATATTCATTTCCCCCAACWGAGGATATAATTCTGGCTGTAACTCTTCTCTGCATGGCATAAGGGGCTTTGATCATGTATCATCAGCACCAAAGCCTGATACTCAGTGATCCTCAGTCCTTTTTYCTGAATCATGGAGCTGTATTTTTATGAAATGGAGGTGGAGGTGGTTCATTACTTCTAAAACTCTAATAAAATATAATAATAAATATAATAAAAGTTTTTACATAATTATAGCAATGGTTCCATAAATATGACATACAATTCAATAAATATATGAAATATCTATAATGAAAATAATAAAAAACAGCTTTGAAAGCATGGAGTACAAATAAAAATTTAAACAAGACTTTTGAAATGCTATATATTAATATGATTCAGTCTGTTACCTCTATTCATGTGCAGCAGTAGCTCATTCCAAATGCCATTCGATTAATACCAGTGTTTCAGATTAGGCTTGCATGAGGTTTATTAAAACATAACATAGTAACACATTATTCTTCTGTCCATTCAGGCAACTAGGAAAAATATTTTTCACCGTCATTTTTAAACATAGTTGTTTTGTAGTATAAACCAGGACTAGAGAGACTTTAAGTAAATTAGGATTTGATATAATAAATTTAGAGGCATGCAAAGTAATTCCTCTATGACAAGTGAATCACAAGTGTTATGCAAGGTTTGTGAGTTTTACTAATCTGGGGGCTTTTACATACCATACAAAAGATAAAAAGTAACTTCAGGTATGTGCCATCTTTGAAAAACTATCAATGTGGATTTGTTTTCAATATGTTATACTTTGTTGGCAATGGGCAATTACATATTTTGAAGGGGAAATGGACTATATGATTGAGTATGTTCTTTTCTAAAATCTAAGTTTAAATGATCCTGTTAGAGATGGAAAAAGATCCATCTTTGTTTTAAGGTGCTGCATATTTCAAGAAACTACTTTCAATATTAATGATTTATTTAATATTAACATAGGGACCAGAATGCTATATTTCAGTATCCATATTGTAAATGTGCCATTCTGGTCATAATAAAACATCTCTCTCTCTAGTGATTGCTGGTTGTAAAATGAGGTGAGACTCTGGTGTCCTTCTCAAAGCATTTATGCTAATAAAATTCATCAATATACCTAATTAAGTCTTTCACAGACACTGTTTAGACAGTAGCTTATTTATGTGGACAATTTCTGATTTGACATTCAGCCTCCAAAGTAAATTAAATAAAGAYACAGAAGGCCAGTGTGCAACACAAGTCTATTTGGTCTCCTTTTCCAGAAGAAAAAAATGGACAACCAAAGAAGAAATTGCTGCAAAGGCTGTCCTGTCAAATGATATCCAATACTAGCACACAGGACTTGTGTAACAAGTAAACTTATAGTTTATAAACTAAAATCAAAAGCTGCTGAATATACAAGATAATCCTAGTTTATTCAAAGATGTGAGCAGCATCCAAATCAAGATTATGCAATTTAGCAGATTTTTTTTTTTCAGGAAAAACAATGAAAACCTTTTCATTTTTTTTTTCCACCTATAATAAAATTATACAGCCTCCAAAGAATGCAGAATGCTGTTTTATTTTCAGAAATCCACAGAATCCTCTGTATAATCACAACGATGGGAAAAAGACATTTGAAAAGGCATTACTTCAGCATGGCCAGCAAGATTTAGGCCATATGAAATGAACCACAGTTCCAGCCCACACAGSCTTTGGAATCTGCACAGCATTTCTCAGCAGACCCATTCGCTTTAAAAGTCGACTCCTTTGCATAACCTTTTTTTTTTTTCTCCCTTTTTTCTAGTTTTTTGAACCTCATTAATGAATCTCATGGGTGTTTATTGTGTTATGGAGCAAGTTTGCTTGCTCCATAAATAGAACTGATCCCAAAAGGTGKTTTTTGAATAAACTAATGTGGTTTACAGTTAATGACTGCTTTCAGAAAAAGTCTTTCTCATCTTGTAATGCCAAGCTGGGGCAAAAATTGAGAGAGAAGATGAATTTAATGCCTGAGATTATTTGAGATAAGATATTCATATCCAGCAATGTTTGCAAGCTCAAGCCTTGTTTTACAACAGTTATATAAATACTTGTCTGAGTGGTCTCATTGTGTTCAATGGGATTTCCAGTGTGTATCCTGGTACTTGAGTGCAAAGATGGGTCTTGATCTTGAAAAGAACTGTGCATGAAATTGATTCTGTATTAGGTAAGTAGCTCCATTGTCATGAGGGGACTGTTCTGTGCAGATTAATGCCCAAGTTAGGAGAGACAAGAAACACATTATAGGAAATCCAAATCCACACATATGAAAAGTGAGGAAAAAAAAGATACTATTTAATACATCTTTTCGAATGTTCCCTGGTTTCACTAAATTTAGATAATCCCTGAAACAAGATGAATTGAAATAATTACCCTATCAAAGCAGACTTTTCCAGTCTTTGGAAATTTTCCAACAGACTCATGAAAAGCAGATATCTCTTGGCTATCTCTATTCTTATTAATTTGGGTCATGGTTAAGAGTTGCTGTGTGACACTTCATAAATTGAGTATGATTTTTGTAATATGCTGKTTTTTTTCATTGGATCCAAAGGATTAATTACAGATTGTGGGGTTTACTGATCATTTCTTCTTACTATTATTTTTTTCAGTTTCCATTACATCAGTGTAGAAGAGGGATTGCCTGCCTGCCTGCACATAAAACYGGGTTGTTTTATATGCAGGCAGGGAGGCTTCTCTCAGACATCCAACAACCACTAGACCATCTCAGTTTTCTGCCCATACCACTGGGTCTCCACACACCCAAAAGACTTAATGAGAGGCATGATTCCAAGTTATTTCCACGTTGCTTTCTTCTTTCCAGTAAAACTCAGCAAGAGAAGTCATGAGCTGCAAATGGAGCTGAGAGACATGTAAGTGGTTAAGGAAGACCCTTGTTATTGCTGACAAATTTATGCAACTGCTTCTGTTTGTCTTCAGGAAGATGCCTTCAGGAAGGTATCTGAGGGCTCTCTTTGGCCTGTTTTGCCTCTTGTTGATATATAGGCATGTGGTGCAGACAGGCCACCTCTTCCACTTTTTGCYCAATGCAYTGCACGTTCCCCATACTGATGGTGCTTTACAGCTGCTACCTCCACAGCTTGGCTAGCGCTGCCAGGTTGCAGGAGATGATAGCTCTCCAGGCTGCTCTGCCACAGTGGCACCCTGACACACATACTGCCTGCCAGTTTATAGATGCTTAAGGAATGGACATAGACTAGCTTGCTCATTTTCCACTACCTTTCTTGAGGACTGGAAGCCTACCATTATTTTTTTATATGGTTGGCATGATTAGCCAACTCTCTAGAGCAATTCTTTSGCTCGTGACTCTTGTTTAAAAAGAATGATGGAATTCTTTTTAAAGATGGAAGATGGAATAAGAAATGAATTAAAATCTATTGTGGTTTTACTGTAAGTCCTGTGTATTTATTTTTCCTCATATGGAGGGCGAAACCCAGCTCAAAGAAAAAAAAAAAAAAAGAGAGAGAGAGAAAAAAAAATAGCCAGAGGATTGTTGTTTCAAAGCCCTGACGTTCAACAGGAGGAAATGCCTGTGTGTGAAGCAGGAACAGAAACAGCAGGTGTGCTGCAGGTGAGGATGCCTACCCGCCTCAGGCTGGCAAAGGATTCCCACAGAGAAGGGAAAACAAAGCCAACCAGGAAACAAACAGAAATATTCAAGCTGTCCACGTCGGAGGCAGCTTAGTTAATCATTACCAATATGGACTGTGCAGAAGTTCACAGTTGATCACACTGCAGAATCCTGCTTGGAGCAGGTGAACACCTATCACAAGCAGTAAGAAATGAGAAGACTCCTGGATCTGGTTTTCTGAATGTGGGTTTTTTTTTTTTTTTTTTTTTACTGGGGAAGAAAAGGATCCATGATCTTCTGTTCCAAGACCTCAGGCCAAACACGGTTCTTTTGTTACTTTCCTGTCCGGAAGAGGAAGTGAGAAATTCCCTCCACACGTGCTCCGGTGACTGAACGCTCAAGTTTCACTCTTGAATCAGGAGCTGCCTGTAATGAGCTCCTCGTTGGGCCTGGAGAGAAGGTTCAGTTGGGGCAGGAGTTGTTTCATTTTGTGCCAAAGGAAGAAGGGAGGAAAAAGTCCTACGAAGAACTAAAATGTTGGCGGTACAAAAAATTGCCTAAGGATATTGCAATTGGGAAAAGTGAAAGGAAAGAAGAAACAGAGGAAGGCACCAAGAAACAGAGCAGCAGGATGGGAAAYTTCTGTCAGAAGCACTGCGTCTGCTTGACACCCTATGTGCCTTGCATATTCTCAGGGGCAGAAGATGAGCCAGTTGAGAAGTCTGGCCAGGGCTTCATCAACATTGGTGTGGTAGGAGATGACTTCCGACCAGTGCACAAAGACAGAGATGATGAGATAAAAGAGAAACCTTTGCCTCCACTGCCTGAGCAGCACCTGGTGAATGTTTGCAGATTTGTGGCACTTTTTGATTATGAGGCTCGTACTGATGAGGACTTGAGCTTCCAGGCTGGGGATAAGCTTCAAGTGTTGGATGCTTCACACGAGGGTTGGTGGTATGCTAGGCTCCTCCTGCCCGAGGGGTCGGTCTCTGCGGGCCGCAAGCTCCAGGGCTACATCCCTGCCAACTACATAGCTGCAGACCAGAGCATTGAAGCAGAACCGTAAGTAACCTGGATAACATGCCAGTAGAGTCTCTTCTCCTTTAATTTAAGCTGTTTTGGAGCAGACTGTTGTGGCCTTTTCTATTCCTGAGTAGGACTTTATCATACTTGGTCTCCTTGCTTTCAAGTGGTCCTACCAGTGGTAGAGGAAGCCAGCATGTGTGAGGAGAAGACAACACAGACTCAAAAAATCAGTTATAAGAGACAAAGTGTTGAAGATTTTGTTTGGATTTAATTTATTTCCCTCTCTGATAAGCCCTGGTTGCTTGGTAAAGAAGGCTCTGGGAATAACAGGTTGACCACCACTCTGAGGGCTCATTGTGGTTGTTGGTATAACAGTAAATGTGCTAATACTTTTCAGAAAGTAAAAAGAAATAACCCCTGCCCTAAATAGCCTATAGTCTAACTGCTGTGCTATCAATTAGTTAAGTGTTTTAAGTTAACTTGTAAAGTTAAGTTGTAAAGAAATCTATCTTTATACCTGTGGATTCTTGCTACAAGTGAGTGTCTAAAGTTTAATTTATTTTACTGTGATTCATTTCTTATTTGTAGCTTAGAACAAAGACTAGAACAAAGTTAACTGGAGTAAGAATTGCAAAGGAAAAAAAGGAGTGAATATAGCAAAGGAGTGTAAATTAGACTTGTTAAAGTTTCACAGAGTTTAATTGCTCAGCCCATGTTTGTCTGCCTCTTCAAAGCACATCTGATTGACTGTACCTAACATTTAGAACTGCAGCAGAAATCACATGAAATAAATTACCTACCCCACTAGTAAGGGTGAGTAAGGAGTGAGTCAGTCTGGGTTGCAATTACTTGCGTGTGTTGCAATCAGGGGCAGTATTTGCAACCAAAGCAGTGACTGAAGTGCTGGAAGTGCCTGTAAAATTGAAAGGGACAACAGAAATAGCATTTTTAGTCTTCAGAATTAGTTTTTACTAGAAACTGTGTATATTTCTTAACCCATCATATCCAATGATTTACTTCAAACTCGAGAGGAATGATGCAGCTTTTCAGTTAACGCTCTTTTGGACCAGGAAAGTCACCTCTGATCTGATCCTCCCACTATATTTCCTAGGACTATGAAAATTGTCTTAGATAGGATTATTCCAGTCCCTTAGCAGCTCTGCAATTTGTGTTTGAGGCATCTTATGGCTACTGCAGCCTGAAGACCTTAATTTCCAGAAACTGATTGCTCGTTTCTATTTCTCTGTTCAGGCAGACAATATTTTCAACAGTCGTTTTCAGGAGAATTCTTCCAATTGCAGAAATTAATCTGCAGGGAAGGTGGTTTTCTGAACCACTGGAGAAATGGTGGTAGGGTATAATTCAACTCAGTTTGACCTTCGCTCTCTTTCAAGAACCTAGTTTTCTCAACAGGTCATCTAAAATTTCTACTTGCTGTTAATACTGTGAAAGTAACTTTACTCAGTTATAAAACAAAGTCTCAAGTACCATCTTGCAAGATCCCTCTCATTTTTTCTAGATTTCCAGCATCAGAAATGGAATTAACTTTGCTAAAGTACATTACTGTATAATCCCTGACTTTTTACTTTCTTTTTATAGGAAAGAAAATCTTTTAGTCCTTATGTATCTTCCCGCCTTTTTTAGTAAAGGTGAAATTTGGGCAACAGATATTTGTTTATAGATTTTTAGAATAGTAGAGAAGTGGGAAGCTTTCACAAATTTCAAATTAATTCATTTCTCTAAAAGTTTGATATTCCTTTACTGTAGTACTGTACTGTACTGTAATAATGAAACTAATCTGGCTAAACATGTAGTCTTTTCTCAAGTACTCGAATTTCTTGCTAGGTTAGTTGGCCTTGTTGAATTTCAAAAAAATATATATATAAGACTTCCTTGCATCAGGCCACACAGATATCTGTTCATATAATCATACCCTAACATAGGCTGAAAAGAACATCAGAAGGTCACTCACATCAGTTCCCCAATTCAAACTGTAGCCAACATAAAATCAGACCGGTTTGCTTGGAGTTGTGTCAACTTTTTTACTCTTACAGTAAGGTTTTTTTTTTCCTTATATCCAATCAGAATTTTCTTTGCAACAATTTCGTCTAAAGCTTTGCCCTCACTTGTATTCCACCTTTAGGTGTTTCATCACCTTTTATATCACTCATAGGGAGGAATTTATGAAATTAATAATTTTCCTTKTTTTTTGAGCTGCAACTTTTAAAATTAGTATTTGTAATGAGCTAAACAAGATGAACAGAGACTAGTAGAAGAATCTCCTCTTTGCATTGGTACTGCAGAAGTCTCTAAAGATCAATCAGGGCCAGTCTTTAAAAAAAGAACAAAACCAAAAAGAAATGATTTATCCTGCTATATCCTTGCTAAGAGCTCGATGTTAAAATATGAAAATTACTCATATCAATCTGACTTGCACAGTGGCAGTTGTAGGGGAAAAAGTAGCCTTTGATCTCTCCTGAATATGCTGAGATACCCTCACATGTTCTTGATAGATCATCCTGCACACAGATGTGGAAATGTGTTTTTTATTGATTTCTTATGTACTTTCAAATAACTTCAGATTTATGTATTAAGGTCAGCAAGAGGACCTCTCTTAGAGCAAGATATTTTTCCAAAATGCAGCTGCCATTAACGTTTTGGCTCTTTGATTCATGGTATTAGTCTTAGAAAGCTTGGGAAGAAAGCCAAACGGTATGATTTGCAGTCTTCTTTAGCAGCTGACTTTAGCATGATTTTGTGTGTATGCAGATTTGGATATATAGTTTGCATGTGCATATATATAGTTTATATACAAGCTGTATTTGTATAAACTATATATGAATATGTATATATAGATATGTATACACACATATAAACAAAATCAGTATCAACTTTTTAAGAGATTGAAATTTGTATGCATGGATGGAAATAAAGGAGCAGAAGACATGAAATATTCTGTAAGTCAKGGGAATGACTCAGAGATGATATGCTGAGTGTGGAAGTTGAGCCAACATATTCTTGAAGGGTGCAATCAAAAACATCAAAGTTCTTTTGCTAAACATCTGATTGTTTGTAGTCCTCATGATTATAAAAGACAAATTTTACCTGGTACTTTTTAACAACATCTTGTCATGATCTGTATTGTAGACCCAATTAGAGACTGGTAAATCCATGTAGCTCTGTGTTTGCCTTGTTGACAGAAGATATTACTAGATAATGACATCTTCTGTCCAAGTGCCTCAGCAGCCAATTTTGTCTCTCTCTGAAGTATCTGTGATTTTTTTTTTCAGAGGGAAAGGCTTTTGAACTTTTCTTCAGTAAGAAAAGTTCTTTAGTAAGAAACTTTGCTCTCTTGTCTCCATTTAGATAACAGTTTTTTGCTCTWGGAAGTTACTTTGCTTTCACTCCATCCACTATGACTGAGGTAGTGMTGGCAAGACAGAACAGTAAGTGGATGAAAGGGAAGAAGAAAGGATCTTTAATAGCTCCACTTTTGTAGGGAGAGGGAAAAAAAAGTCTTTTATAACAAGGGAAAATTTCATGCATTTTGTCTATCAGAATGTTAAAGCAAAACTGATAGACATTTCTTAACTGTGTTTCTTAACTTTCCTCAGATTATTTCTTCCCATTTTTCAGAGAATTTATATGTAGAGATGTACATACTGTAGATCACTATTATTTTCATTTATAACAAGCTTATGTCAAAAGTCAAATATCTGCTATTTGTAAATGATATCTAATCTAAAAAGCAAGTTTCTCTTGCTTCCTTCTTTCGGCTTGAGTAAGCCCTTCTAATGTGAACAATTTCAGTGAAATCAGTCTCACTCTATATGAATTGGGGACGAATAGAAAGGATAACTCAGTGATTTGGATTCTGCCTGCTACAGTACTGCAGTCTAAATGTGTAAGGTTGATTACATAATGCATAAGATTAAATACATCCAAGAAATGCCCAGGTCCTACCACAAAGAATATTTTAGACAGACTCAGGAAACAAGGCCCTTCATTTCTATATTTACCAGTAAAGTCTCTTCTCCATGACTAATCTCTCGTAGCACCTGCAGGACTCCTTATTTCAACAACATCCTGCACAGTGGAGGTTGTACCTGGTTTCTCCAGAGACAGGTGTGTTCTGGCTGTACCTGCACCAGGGGTGGCAAGGAAGTCAGTGAGCAAAAAGCATTGGTCAAGCAAGCCACAACTGGAGGTGCTGTACATATACAGGGAGCTTCTCTTCAAGAAGAACTGAATATGTAACTACATAAATATGTTTTTAATTTTCTCAGTCTGCATGAAAACAGAGGCTACTCTATGCTATTCTAAGTTGAATTTCCAGCAAAAGATGATCATAAAGGGCAATCTGATTACCATCTAAATCTAAATTAAAATACACAATTAAAAAACACATTCCTGGGCAAGGAATGTGTTCTTACTTTCTCTATAGTCTTTTGTGTCTGCTTTCTGCACTATAAATAAGAACCATAGCAACAGACTCACCTGCCCTTCTTTGATTACTGCTGGTTGTTTTAACTAAACAAGAAAGCAACATAGTGCAAGTTGTTATGGACAACAAATACAGCCCAGATGTACAGTTCATTCTAATGAAAAAAAAAAAAGGAGGAAAATTATTCTATTGGAGTAACATGAATTCTGTTGTTTAGACAAAGGGCAGAATATACTTATCAGGACTCTTTCCACACAACCTGATGGACCTGTTGGCTGTTTAATAGAATTAACTGCATAGGGCATATTCATCCCAACATGTTACCAATGCAAGAGTGCTGTGCTAAGAAGTAAATCCATGCAAATTCCTGGTGGATTAGGTCAAAGAAAATCATTGCAATTACTTTTAACTATTATCAGTTTCAGAAGCATTCCTTATTTCAGAGAGATTCCTTATGTAGGTATTTCCCAGCTGGTGGAAACTGGGTCCCAGATCTAATCAAAGAAACTTCACTAGTCAATTCCACAATGATCTTTTTATGCACCTCTTGGAAAGGAGAAGCAACTTCTAAGCTCTTTTTTGAATACTCCTA